AGGCTCCAGACTTTCATTAATGAAGTGAAGGCTGCCAGCTAGTCTCAGCAAAGCCAATCCAATTAGTTAAATTGAACGATTCGTCAACCAGGGTTTCTTTAAACGTGGTCCTGCAGTCTGTGTTCACCTCATTGCTCCGTGCTCCTGCAGTGACCAACACTCTTTAATTAGAGAGGTCTGCAAGGAACGCCATGATGCCTCTGTGTAGCTACGTGTGTATCTAGCCTGATAAAAGCTGCAGTGTTTCACTCATATGGATGAAATTTAGCAAATAGAGGAATTTAAATGGAAACAAAAGCTTAAATTGCATATCATTCCAATTGGGAGACATTTTAATTTATTTATGAACAGTAGCATTCTGTTTGTTCAACACAACTGCAGCTTTATATATATATGACATCATTAACTTAACTTAACAATAGGCCTCACTGTGCTGCCATTAATTCCAGCTTGTTTTTCATTACCAGAAATGTGTGATGAAATTCTCTTCATCTGAGGTGCCAGTATGTTGCTCTCTCTGAGAATTGTTCGCATTCTTGCTCTTCCGAGCAGTGGGGAAATGAATGCATTTAACATTTGTGGAGCTTTTGATTTTCCCCTCACTTTATATGAATGAGGTTGAAATAGGGGACTTAAATACCCTACTATCGGTAAATCATATGGCAGTCAAAAATTACCCGCATGTAAATGGGGAGAATAAAAAAAGAATCAGTTTAATACTAAAATGTGGACAGGTCTCGCAGCTAACAGCAGAGTAGCTGCCTCCCACACTTGAATTTGAATTGCCAGGGCTGCTGTATCATTCAAGTCTGCCTGCTATGGCTGGGAGAGAGCTCTGATGGCTTGTTATTTCAAACTGATCGATGGGCACCTCTTGGTGGTGTGATGTTGCAGCTTGGCAGGAGGGAGGAAAGAGCTGCTCCAATTGATCTACCTTGCTCTCCACGAACCCCTGTCAGTCGACCATGAAGTAGGATTGAAAGCGATCAGGAAAAGGTTTGAAGCCCTGTCTTGTCTTGTGCTCCCACCTTGGAGATTATGCGAGGACGAACAGGGCGTTTGGGTATGGACAAAACTGGGGGTAGAAATTTAATAATTTTCAATGAAAGAGGAAGGTAATAGTGTTTGGTATGAATAATGTCAATCTCATCGGCTGTCTTTGAGGACAAATGTCACAACTTAGGCTGCATAGTACAATGATGGAGTTATTGCGATTCTCAAAGAAACTGTTTTTCACAACAACCTGTTTGAGAAGCAGTCACTTATTGTGGGTTTGTACTGCAATAATGATAATACTGGCATTTGATATAGCGCCTTATCATGATATGGAAATGTCTCAAAGAGTTTCACAGGATTCACTGTGAAATGTAGTGACTATTTTTAGGTGAACATTCAGTATAACTTCCAACAAAATGTCAACCCTGTGGTAATTATATCAAATTTTCAAATGTCTATTGCTTCATATGCGGCAGAACCTTTCTTACAAGGTTTCTGAGAATCAAACTTAAAATGTTTTCCAGTGAATGAAGTTTTACTGTGTTTGGTATGATTTCTCTATTAATAAGACCTTTCTACACAATGTGTGCTGGAGAGCTGTGGTATATCAGGGAAGGTTATAATGAGACACCACTGTCCTACCAGTTTTGATTTGCTGCAGGTTGGTAGAAGTTTAAAATATATATATAATATGCAGACACGCCATTCAGGATTTGATGGTGAATGTGGCTGAATGTGAATTTGAGCCACAAATGTTGAGAAATATGACATGCGCTTGACAAGCACTCACAGAGAACAACATTCAGTTAACAAGAATCAATGCCGTGAGTGTAATTTTCCATCCTGTGTTCACTTGCAGTTAATTGGACAATCTCACTCTGAGAAGCCATTAGGGTGATTATTGTGGAGAGTGAGAATGTCCCGCTGATGCTGTAGAGGATACTTTCCTTGAATTACAGCATATTATTAGGACATAGTAGAGGGAGTGTCGTCTTGTACCCAGTCTTGTCCTTGTATGAGTGTATGATCCTGACATTAATTCCAAAGAGAGAAATGAATTAAAGTCTCTTGCGCTGTTACCTTTATAAGCATAAATTCCACCCCCTCCCCTGAAAAANCCCTCTCTTCATTCAGAAGATTTGAGTATCATTTAAAGAGATCAATGCTGTTAATTTTCAAACGACACTGATGCATATTTCAAATTTATCATTCGGTTAATTTAGATGTGTTACAAGTGGTTTCTCTTCTCATCATAATATTTTTATTATTTCCAACCTTGTACATGGTATAAAATGCAATCAGATAAGATGCTGTATAGAGCCAATGAATTATTTCTGTGTTATTTCCCGGCAGGGTGAAACCTTGGGCAAGTTTCCTTACTCCACACTCCTGATAATAATCCCTCAAGAAAAAAAACAATAATAAATTGGTCGCTCAATCCACGACTGTTTGTGGGACACTGCTGTGCGCAATCGGCTGCCGCTTTTCACCCACAAATATACAGTCAATTCACTTTACAGTCTATTCTGTGAAGTGCTTTGAGATGTCTAGAAGACGTGAAAAGCGCTATATCAAATGCAGGGATTATTATTATTTATTATTATTCTGTGGTAGGTATGTTATTAAACAAGCCCACTGAAGTTGAACCCAGCTCGAAAGGTGGCTTTAAGCCATCTGCACTGTAACTGCTGGTGGGACAATAGCTGTCTCTGTACAATATTTGTGCAGTGCCAAATTATCCACTTCAGAATTTGAAACTGTGCTCAAAACTCGGAATTCAGCTGTGACTCCATTTGCATTTCTTGCTCCCTGCAGAGCACTGCTGCTCTCATCCCTTTTTGTTGTTGTTGTGCATATGCACATTCCTGTGCCGCACGCCTGACTACAGAAGGTAATTGCTGCCCACTTTGCACTGTTCTGGCATTCCAAATTTTGTTCCGGCACAGAACCCACTGCTGAGGTAATGTTCCTTCATCCTGGAGCTCAGATCTTGCATGGCTAGATTTGTGCATACACTGGCATCAAAGGCACCATAAAGGGTTTCATTTTATTGAAAGTGGAGAGGTGGGATAAATGCATGTTTCTGTTCCCAGTTGGCAGTATAAACCACTGGGGATTTGGCATGAGCTTATAATTGTGGTTTCTTAGTGGGGTTCCAAAAATCTTGGGTAACAGTTGAGGCTTGATGCACTTTCCCACCACGAGAAACTTTGATAGCGGGAACATTCATTCTGTGATGGCCCAAAAGACCTGGGCATTCTTCCCTTTCTGCTACCTGCTCTTTGCATTCTAAAAAGCAAAGTGCATTTAAAATCATTTACCAAACTGATGCCCTGAGCTGTCTAAATTCAAGAAAAGTGCAAAAGTTTTGAAAAGATGCTTATGGAGAGAATTTAGCTGTGTTCTTGATGGTCAGAGCAGCAGCCATGCTCCCTGACTTTCTCCATCCTGCTGGGGAAACTGAGTTCACTATAGAGTGGAGCGGTTTTACCAGCAGGAATGTAAATCAAAATGCCCAAGAACCCATGTTAAAAAAGAAAACCGCCTTGCATCATAAATGCAGGACAAATTGGTTATTGGATCACTCCTTGAGAATAGCATTGAGGACTAGATAGTATGTCATTCAGAACTCTGCAGCTCGTGTACTGTCCCTCACCAGGCTTCGGGACTACATCACTCCCACCCTCGCTCGCCTCCACTGGCTCCCCATCCCCCAGAGGATCGATTTCAAGATCCTCATCCTCACCTACAAGGCCATTCACGGCCTTGCTCCCTCCTACCTCTCCGACCTACTATCCCCCTACCTACCTGCCCGTACCCTCTGTTCCTCTGGCTCCGGTCTGCTCCACATCCCCCGCCCCAAACGCCCTACCATCGGTGGCCGGGCCTTCAGCCTCTCAGCCCCGAGGCTCTGGAACTCTATCCCCCTGTGCCTTCGCCTTGCCTCCTCCCTTTCCTCCTTCAAGGCCGGTCTCAAGACCTTTCTCTTTGACCGTGCCTTCAGCTCCCCTCTCGACTCTCTACCCCCTCCTCGCTCCCTCCCTTCCCTCCCCTCACCATTTTCCCCCCTGCTCGGGTCCTGACCCAACTGTACAGCGCCTTGGGACGTCCTCCCGACGCGAAAGGCGCTCTATAAATGGAATCTTGTTGTTGTTGTTGTATGCATCAAATTGTTCAATTGATTTATAAGAAATTTTACACTCAATCAGTCAGTCAGAACTACAGTCAGGTCATCTGAGATTTACAATTCCATATTGAACTAAGAATAATTACCTTATCCGAAACGAGAGTATTAAGACTTCATAATGTGCCTCCATCAAGCAGGAATGTGTACAATTGGCTGCCGTGTTTCGCCTACAAAATACCCAATTACTCCACTTAACAGTATACTCTGTGAAAAGCTTTGAGACATCTCAAAGACATGATAAGGCGCTATATCAAATGCTAATAATATTAGAAAAGATTGTTGTTTGTAAAGTGGTTTAGAGTAATTTACTGTTCAGCAATCAGAGACAATAACTTAATTCATACATTTTCATTATGATTTGGTGGAAGGTCACAAATTATTACTATATCTTGCCAGAAATAAAAAAAAGACCCATGAAATGATTCCATTATAATAATAATAATAATCCTTGCATTTGATATAGCGCTTTTCACATCGGGAGGACGTCCCAAAGCGCTTCACAGAACACACTGTAAAGTGAATTGACTGTATATATGTGGGCGAACGCGGCAGCCAATTGCGCACAGCAATGTCCCACAAACAGTCATAGATTGAAAATGACCCAATTTATTATTGTTTTGGGTTTTGGAGGGATTATTATTAGGCGTGTGGAGTAAGGAAACTTGCCCAAGGTTTCGCCCTGACCTGCCTGGAATTGAACTCGGGTCTCTCGCTTGCAAAGTGAGTGCTCTAACCACTGAGCTACAGGACTCCACATTATTATTTTAATATTTTGCAAAGAAATAAATGAAAACAATGTGCAAATTTGATTTGTGCTTGTATATTTTTTAATAGTGACTCTGAGTAATTTTATGCAGCTATCTTGATACTATATACCAGACAGCTTAAACGAATTGTCTTCCTCAGACTACGAGAATTGTCCTTCTCTCAAAGGTTTGTGTTTTACTTGCAACTGTAGTTTGCGACCCATTGTATTTGTTACTAAAGAGGGACCATACGCATCTATTTTTGAAATATCTTATGGACTCAGGCTTATGCCTTTTTCTGCAATAAAATGGATGAAATATTGGATCCATAGGGCATGTGATGTACGTATGCTGTTTGGGCCTTGCTCACACCAATGATGAATTGTTGATATACAGTGGGTTTACTTCCTGGAATTCAGGAAAGAAAATGCTATCTAAAAGGTTGAAAAACAAGGGTAAACAAGGAGAAATTAAAAGCTACAGACAGTTAATTGTGTATCTGGACCACTGAAAAGATATTGGCAGGGCAACTGGATTTGAGCAATGCCAGTTTTATAATTTGAAGTTCCAATTTTGCATTGATATCTTGTACTTCAGCTCTGCACCTTAATGTGAGCCACCAACTCTGAAATTGATATGGACCTCTGGCTTGATTTCACACACCAGCCCCAAGAGTTGGTACAGAACCTTTTCCCTGTTCTGTTGGTGATCGCTTTTAAGCCAGTTGATTTTTGCTTGAGTTTGCTCATCCACTCGGACTGAAAGGTTACCTTGAGATCCCATGATCTGGTAGAGAGAGAGACATGTTTACTATAAACGGAAGCACATACCATATCAACAAGCGGTGTGCATATTTGAGCATGTTAGAAACTGTGGTATGATGTTTACACTATATACACTCAGGGTATCAATGTTTTGTTTCTAACTTTCTCCCTTTTCACTTGAAACTAATATCTCATGCTGAAAGAATTACCTTCCAATGCCAACAGCCCTCTATTTTCCCATCCAAGTGTCAGTTGTTTACTTAACAATGGGACCAACACAGCTGAACTTGTGTGAAAGGGTCGTATAGATAGTGATTAGGAAAGAAAACTAAGGCTATTTGTTTTTCTCCCTTTATCCCAGCCAAGAGATGCGGAGGAGCCCTACTATCTCTTGGCTCAAGTTGAAAAACTCCTACAAAGGACAAGAATCAAAGTTTGAACTGTCCAGGTCTCTATGGCTCAGTACCATAGCCATATAATGCATTTAACCATTTGGGGAGCAACACGAGTGAGTGTGTGTGTTTGTGTTTTGGTAAAGCCTTTGTTGGTCTTAGTTCTGTATGGATATAATACTAATCCTTGCATTTGATATAGTGCTTATCACATCTTCGAGACATCTCAAAGCGCTTCACAGGATACATTGTAAAGCGAAAAAGTTAGTATGCAAATACAGTAAGCACTAGGGAAGGCTAATGGCATGTTGGCGTTTATTGTAAAAGGGTTTGAATACAAGAGTAGGGAAGTCTTGCTGCAACTGTATAGGGCCTTGGTGAGACCGCACCTAGAATATTGTGTGTAGTTTTGGTCTCCTTATTTAAGAAAGGACATACTCGCCTTAGAGGGGGTGCAGTGTAGATTCACTAGGTTAGGTCCTGGGATGAGGGGGTTGACCTATGAGGATAGGTTGAGTAAACTAGGCCTATATTCTCTAGAATATAGAAGAATTAGGGGTGATATTATAGAAACATATAAGATTCTTATGGGGCTTGGCAGAGTAGACAGTGTGAGACTGTTTCCCCTGGTCTATAACTAGGGGTCACAGTCTTAAGAATAAGGGACAGACCTTTCGAACAGAGTTGAAGAAACACTTCTTCACTCAGAGGGTAGTGAATTTATAGAATTCTCTACCCCAAAAGGCTGTAGATGCTCAGTCCTTGAAGATATTCGAGACTGAGATTGATAGGTTTCTAAAAGATAGAGGGATTAAGGGATACGGGGATAAGGCAGGCAGATGGAGTTAGGTTAGAAGATCAGCCATGATCTTATTGAATGGTGGGACAGGCTCAAGGGGCCGAATGGCCTACTCCTGCTCCTAATTTCGATGTTCCTATGAAGTGACTGTGTGTTTTTGGGTGAAACACGGCAGCCAATTGCATGCAGCAGTGTTCCTCACACAGTCTCTGGTATGTCTGTTTGTGCTTGTGTCTGTCTCTGTATGTATATGTATATATATTTATGTGTGTGTGATTAATATCATATCTATGTTTGTGATATTAAAATGTAAAATATATATTTTTTGTATCACGTGAATAGAATGGGTTATGACTCATTTTAAATAACTTCCTTCAGGAAGCTGAATTCAGCTTTATCTGGTCAATTGTGTCCAAAACAACATATTTAATTAGACATGGGGAGCAGAGTCGAAGCATCATTTTTTAACTTTCAAACATCCATTCTGAAAACATGCTTTGGAGTTCTTTTTTGCATTAATACGCACCGAGGTTTGCTTCTGTCTAAACTCGCTCTCTCTTTGCAGACGATATTGATCTATCTCAGCTTGAGCCTCATCCTTTGCTTGTTTGAGTCGTCTTCCTTTCCCTAAAAGCAGCATTCACAAAGCAAATTCCACGTAACTGTTTGACACCAAATATGCCACAAATCTAATGAATAGAAGATGCACAATGGGGATCAATGGATTCTAAAAAAAACTAAATCATCGAGCGATGCTGTACTAAATAATAAGGCTCCTGTGAGTTATGTCGCCCGATGTCTAGAATGATTTCTTTTTCATGATATTGATTCTCTTCATAGATTCTGCTTTCAACCCATCTGTTTTTTTTTGCTGTACGATTTCCACTAGGTTTCAAAATGCAACACCTAATTACAAAAGGCGTTGCTTGCTTCCAGCGTCCTCACTGCTTGTCTGAGGTGGAGTAATCTGGTGTGAACTCTGATGATATGACTTGGTGCCTTCTTTGTGATGTGATCACTGCAGCATTGTAACAGTGGTGCTTGCTTACCAGCAATCACTGCTGGAACCAATAATTATATGTATAATTGTAGGCTATTAAATTTGGTCATGGGGCAGTGGGGGGAACCCAATGGTAACACAGTATGACATGCTGTGCCCCAGAATAATGGATAGGATAGGGCTTCATTTCCTCAATTTTCTTTATCTAGTCTCCCCTTGTAGAAAGATCTTGTGCACTGCTTGGTGGAGTCCTGTAGCATATTGGTTAGAGCACTCGCCTTGTAAGCGAGACATCCTGGGTTTGATTCCTGGTTGGGGCAAAACCTGAGGCAAGTTTCCTTACTCCACACGCCTGTTTATCTACCAGTAAGTAGGAACCTGATTGTTATTCGATTGGCAGATCACTTTTTGGGGGTAATAATACCCCCCCTCAAAAAAAATTGACTCAATCCATGACTGTTTGTAGGACACTGCTGTGTGCAATTTGCTGCTGCATTTCGCCTGCAAATACACAGTAAGTTCACTTTACAGTATATTCTGTGAAGTGATTTAAGACTTCTCAATTACGTGATAAGGCGCTATGCCAAATGCCAAAGTTTATTATTAAAGAGCAGCATTAACTGAGGTCACAAATCTTTGGCCATGGCTTGGGCAAGGGACAAATGAAATTGAGCAAATAAATGGCTTCTTAAATTTTAAAAAAACTATGGAAACTTATTTGTGAGTTAGAAAGTCCAGCACCACTAGTCTATATTCACACTCAGAGGAAAAAAATGTAATCCAACATTGTACAATGGGATTTTCATTGATCCATGCTCCAAATTAGGTGAGTTTTAAAGCCTAGTGAAAAAGTGCCACATATTATAAGCCTTAAAGTGTTCTTTCAGTTTTTTTTACACACACACACACTGTAATGCATTGCACTACCTGAAGCAATGGTTCTTGGGAACTGTTTTACTCGCCAATTCTATTGCCAGATTCAATTGATTACCTGATTGTGCAAAGTTAGCATTGCAGTTTCTCAGACCATTTATAAGATGGAACTCAGCGACCAGATGTGCATGTGAGGAAATGCGACGTCTCTATCGTCTCCATCAATTCTATACTTCTTAAATATTCAATTTGACAAATAGCAAATACTGCACATCACAAAACTTGAACCCATATATTTTGAAGTCGTAAATGCAAACCTATTCTCTTATGAAGCTTTTACAGAAATCCTGTTTTAGGCATGATCTCCCTGGCATGTGATAACAGTGCTGTACATTGCGAAGTTACAGTTGTTAATGAAGAAAATCTCATGCAGGTTAGAATTCAGACCATCCAACACCATATTTGGGATTCTTCCCCTAGAAAGCAATAAACAATTAATTCGTTTTTATAAGACCCTTTTGAAGTCTGAACACTATCCGTTTTTTTTCTTAATTCATGAACAAGCCCACTGGATATCACTCCAAAATAAACATTACAGCTTTGTAATTCCTCTCTTTCACAGACAGAATTATTTGGTTTTAAACATAAAACCTATTTTAACTCTGATGTCCATGAAGCCTATCTGGAAGTGGACATTCACCGTTTTGGCCCATGAAACAGTTGCCAGAGGACAGGGAAACAGCCTTCTTCAATATACACCAACTCCAAAGATTTTTATTTTTTCAAAGAACTTTCTGTTCATGGATTAGATCTAGTCCACATCAACCAAGGCTACCGATTTATAAACTATTCAAAATAGCCACATTTTCAGAATTCACTGCCTATCCCTTTCTTCCCAATATGCATCTTGAACAGCACTCAGTTATCAAACCCACAGGGATATATTTAAGGGCAAATGTTTAGGTTTGTTTTTCTAGTTTTTGCTATCCATTTTTACATCAACATGGACTGTTTTCATTGAAGTCACATAGGTGATTACATGATCATAATTCTACTCTGTGCAAGATTCTTCCTACCCTTCTATCCACCCACTGGATCTGCCTACATTTCCAGGATAGCTCGGCTCTATGCCCAGCACCACAGGAGGATGTATCTGGGATGCGCGTAAGAGACCTGCCAACAACAAGATGTCCCTGCATGCGAGGAGAAGCAGATCGTCCAACCTCTTCATCATGAGTACAACAAAGTGTTTGTTACAGTGGCTCAGATGAGAGTGACATGTCCTGAGTTCTGACCCATTTGGCATTGCTGTGTGGAAGTTGTGTTGGAGATAAGAAACGTAGACTTGAATTTTGCTCTCTGCACTTACCGAAGATGCTAACTCATAAACAGTTGTGTTTTGAACGCAGCTTTCATGGTTTGGCAAATACGTTTCAGATGCCAGTAAGTCGCCTGAAGTTTATATTTCTTGCATTTTTTTTAAAAAAATTGCCAGTGGAAGGAATGCACGTTCCTCCCCACTGACAATCACCTACTAAAAAATATCTGATCCCAAATGTAGAATAAATAGAGTAGAAATGTAGACCTTCCGACAGTACACGTGTCAAAGAAATTGCATCCCTATGTTGCCATCCAGCTGCAGTCTAACCTGTCGTCCCCCCCCCCACCCCAGTGGTTGGTGTGGAGGCAGATGTTAGGGGGTATCATTGCTAATATTCCAGTTGTTGTGTTCAATCGGACTGGACCAAGAAATCAACAACACAAATGCTCGCCCCTCTCTCGCATGGTTCGGCATGTAATATATATTAATATAGAAACTGCAGCCTTAATAATAATAATAATAATAATCCTTGCATTTGATATGTTGATCTGCTGCGCTCGTCACACATTCATTCCTATTTCCCATTCCACTCTCAAGCCAAGACAACTTCCACTCGAGCACTTTTACTTTCACGATCGTTAAGAAAGTCAAGTTGTCCAATATAATCACTGAAGTCTGAGGTCAAGCCCAACTCAACTCTGCACTCAACATCAGAAGAGATGAGAAAGAAAGTCCATGCTAAACTTTTCTCTTTTCTCTCTTTCTTTCGGGGTGGGTGGGGTGGGTGGGGGGAGATTTCCTCTGCAACTTGATGTGAGATTAAAATCGTCTCCACTGTAGTTTTAATTAAAAAAAAACACCCAACAGCAAACAAGAAATCCACCTGAGAGTGAGGGAGAGTCCGGACACTTACCCTTCTTAGCCTCCTCTAACCTCTCTTTGGCTCGTTTCTCTGCTTGCAGCAGCTGATGGATCCCCAGGGACTGACTGGTCATGTTCTCCAGGGTGCAGAGCCCTGATCTGCTGTCCTCTGGTGGGTGGGGTGGTGGGTGGGGGGGGGGGGTTTAGAGTCAGCAACCACCCCCACCCCCACCCCCACACCCACCCACTCCCACCCCCATCACCTCCCCGGCTTCTGCTGTGTTGGCACAGGCACTCCATCCCCTCTCCACATTGCAGCTGTAACCTGCAGATTGCAGTCCTCAGCCGCTCGAGTCGGTTTCCCAACACCCAACGCCTTCCCTCCAACGTTGTTTTGCAATTTTGCAATTTTACGCACTGCACAATCTGAACCCTCCGCTTCTTTTTTTATATATAAAAAAAAGTCAATCAAATCAAATCATATCGAATCAAAGTCTGCGCCTTTATCTTTCGGTCGTTCTTATTCCCTCGTTACATCGAGATCTCTCCCTCTGTAGCGCTGCATCTATCTATTTGCAGATGTTTTTTTCCTAACGTGTGTTTTTCTCTCTCTCTCTCTCTCTCTCTCTGGCTTTGCTTGTGGGCAAAAAAAAATCTTGTTCATTTTTTTTCCCCAAAAAAAATAAGCGGATGAATTATACTTTCTATTCTCTGTCGAGTTATGTCATCATTGTGTGTGTGTGGTGGTTGTATTAGGAGCATATTTGCTGGGGTGTAAGATTACTTTGCTAAGGGGATGTGTGGGATTTAAATATATATATATATATGAAGGTAATTAACACGTGAAATCTCAATTCATTTTCAGACATTGTGATTTTTCACCTAAAGAGAGCCCAGGACGACTCACACTGGATTAGTTTTCAAACAATTCAGCACCTAGTAATGTAAGGTTTCTTGAAAAGAACATCACTGAGATAGATCATAGCTGTTTCATAACAAATGCCATTCGAAATAATAGCATCGGTTTCTTACAAGGCCGCCTTCACGGATCAGTATTAACGCCTTGGCAGATTTGTGAGGCTTCATCTACTTTTTTTTAATATAAAAAAAATATTTCCGTCAGTCTGCGGTTGTTGGGACAAGACTCCAGCTGTGTGCGAACTCGGATGACATTGGAGGAAACCTCATTGCAAATTGGCCCCTGTCTGCAGCTTGGGCTGACTTCTGTTCTCCAACTCGAATACTTCAGCATTATAATCTGGTGTGTACCAGAGCATTGCTTAATATCTGTCACTCTTCCTTTCTAAACCCTCTAAATGTTCCACCGAACACATTTGAACGGCAAAGAAAAAAGATGACCACGGAATGAATAGTAGCCTTTAAATCATTTTATGTCTGAAGGAGAGTTGAAGAAATGTTCAGTCTTCAGAATGTTAACATTTTCTGTTCTGCACTTGAACTGCGTTCAATCCCTGCTATGCCAAGTGTTTGAATATTGTCAAGACACTGTGTTTGATGTTGTATGTCATGGTATTATGGTGGTAAGAGAAGGAAGAGGAATGGAATAAATAAAAGTTTTAATATGCTTTTTGCTGTAGAATGAGAAAAGTCATTGATGCTATAATGTACAATCTATGCAAAACTTACCCGACCATGCATCTTACTGCAATGACTCTATATCCCAGGGGCAAGGTTTGCATGCAGACTCTGAGGTCCAAAGGTACTCAAATCCACTTCAAATACAGTCACTACACTTTACAGTAAATTCTGTGAAGCGCTTTGGGACTTCCTCCCAATGTGAAAGGCGCTATACCAACTGCAAGGATTATTATTATCTCCACTATTCATATTTCTCTGTGGCTCCCTCCCTCATGGCTCTGACTGTTTATTGGCTTCATGGTGGCAGCTTGCTACTGTTCTCACTTTGGATCACAATGTTGTGAGTTCAAGCCTCTCTCTCTCATGACTTGAAGTTACAACTTGTACATTAACACTCCAGTACACGCAGGAAGTAATAACCAAAATGGTTGCCAGGCCTTTTGTAAGGAATAGCTTGATGCTGTGAGGGAGCACAGTAGATTAGGTATTCTGGAAGAGTGTGATAAAATGAGTTGAAGGGCTTTCTTCACCAACCAAAGCTCCCACTCTGATGGTTTATCTGCTGACTGTTTGGGACACCAGGCGAGATCAGAATTGGCTCAAATATTCCACTTATATCAACCTCATTTGTTCCTTCCATCACTTCAATGACCTGCATCAATCCTCAAACATCATTTTATCATTGAGAACAAGTACCGATCTATGAGACATCTTGCCACGAATTAGAGCTCAGTTACTCCTCTTTGAACTTTACAAATGGTTCAATGTCCTTTGGAAGATAAGATGCCAAAGCCTGCATAACAATGTTGCAATTAAAACCCATGGTTAGAATAACTTATTTTATCTGATACAGTTTGCACTTACATAGTGCCTTTCATGTCGGGAGGACATCCCATTGCGCTTAAAAATTCTGTCTGGGCACCAGAGCTGAGGATGAGACCTGAGGAGAGTGACAGGCTGTCACTGACAGCTGAGGAGGGTGAGGAATGGAAAGGTGACTAAAAGGTATGTTTTGAAATGCACCAGTTCAACTCTTTCAGCTCTGATATAGGCTGTGATTGTGTCTGATTTAGATTCTTATGTAACTTTATTTACATTTCTTCTGCTCCTCTACCAGCATCAATTTGTTTATTCCCTTTAGGATTATACAAGTCCTTGCACATTTTTATTAACCCAGATTGTAGTGCACTGGAATTGGGAGCTTTGATCGTAGAAGAATGAGTGGGCAGCCATTACATCATCTTTTAGTTGTGCTATGAACACAAGATGATGCAGGATTGGAAACGACCATCACGGTCTTCCTGTCATTCCATTTTTAACTGTGTGTGTATTTCGATACATTCATGCAATTGTTTGTTGATTGCTGATTTCCAGTGAAATATTTAATGTTAGAAAGAATTGATGGGAGAATCAGGGAGCTATTTTCTAAACGTGTGTGTGTTTAGCTCCACAGTTGTATTACAGTAAATGTGCAGCATTAAGCCATTAGTTTTAATTTAATTTTGGTCATAATGTGTAGATTAGACTAGTACGCAATGGAACATCATATTAGCTTTAGAACATTACATAAGTAATACAAAACATTAAATTAAAGGTGTTTCAATACCGGGGATGTATCAAAAATACATGTATTGTACTGGGAAATTGCTTAAGAAACAGACAAGAAAAAACTGTAGTGTTTGTACACAAAAACGTGTTTCGCCCACAAAATATAGTCACCTTACAGTATATTCTATGAAGCACTTTGAGACCTGATATGATCAGGAGCTATATCTAATATCTAAAGTATTATTATAAAAACATGTCTCACCGTGTGTGTATATGAGTACGTACATATACATAAGATGCCTAAAACTCAATTGTCATCAGGCAGTTGAAAGTCACCAAAAGAAGAAGCTCCTATGTATTTGTAGTGTAAATATTTACTGAGCTCAGTATTTAACACAAGCCTAGTGTGAATCTAGGTGCAGATAGGAAAATGTGAGTGGCATTTAAGTTGCTCCTTTCTTTCTACCTTACTGCTGGCTCTACCTGACTAACTGATGAATCAAGTGATTCCATAGGATACCTGCCTAGACATTGGGTCTCACCACTGATAATGGTTGTAGGGCACTATGTCTGAACACTATTGAAATCAGGCAAAAAATAAAGGCAACAAAAAAACTCTGCAGTGCAGAAAGGTTTGTAGTTTTGTGAATTAGGATGAGAGAGGAAAAGCATCATCATAACAAACAACTGTCTGTATATGCATGGTAGCTGTTTCAGAACATTTTCAGTGTGTATAAGTAATTTTGTGCCTACACTGGGATGAATGTATATTCACCACATTTAATTAAAAAAACTAATCAATCATTAGCAGCATTTTCATAACACTATACTTGGTTTGGGTGTAAACTGATGCCTTTACTTGTGTCACAAGAGCAACTTCTAACAATACAGCACAAATTGTAAAATCTGTGCTGATAAACCAATTACTCATGAACCCCATTGGGTACAATGAATGACTTCTGACCTGTTAAAATCATTCACTTGCAATCTAAACAGAAAAGCACCATTTGGTTCACAGTTTCTTCCAACTTAATTGTTGCAGTTCAGAAGACATTGTCCATAGCTTGGATCACAAATGGGTTTCTGTGAATGCTGTTCCACTGTTTCACCTTTGTAGTCCTATTGATTCTGTTGTTGCTGCCCATTCTTTTGGATCTTGGTGGTGTGTGAAGTTGCTTCTCTTTATTCTGCAGCCTAGCAGTTGGATTCTTTCTGTTGATTTTTCTCTTGATGTTATGCTTCATCATTATTGCTTGTCTTGTGGCATTCAATGTTTCTCATTTAGGTCTGCTCCCTTTGCAAATTGTCACTTACCAACTTCTGTTCAGCTTTTAATCTCTGTTTTGTCAGTTCTGTTTCAGCTGTCAGGCTGTCCAGCATCCAATAACCTAAAGAGCTTTTACTGTATTAATTTTATCTTTTCCAGACCTATCACACCCTTATCTTTGTGTTGTCTTTTCATATCATGTGTGCATATGTTACACACCACCTCATTAAAGCTGCCTTTGCAGGATTTTATCAAACCTTATGTTTAAAGTTTTGTGTCTTTTCATTAATTATTCTGTCTTCGTGTTGCCTTTGCCTTATTTTTTCTGTAGTACTTCAGCATTTACTTCCATTTTAACATCCCAACTTCTGTATTTATTTCATTCCCTCCAATTTGAGTTCTCTGTAAAGCGTTCTGACCATAATTTCCTGCTTCTAAACAACTTGTAGCTTTGCTAATAACCATAAAAATTTACATCTCAGAAGGAAGACATTTGGCCCATCATGCATGTGCTGGATTTCTGAAAGAGTTATCAGTTTAGTCACATTTTCCAACCCTTTCCCCAAACACTTTTAAGGATGTTATACCTCCTTTTTCAGGAGGTATAACATTTACACCAATGATAATTTATGAATGATATACTACTAAGAAATCAGAGCACTTGTAATAATCCTTGCACTTGATATAGCACCTTTCAAGTTGGAAAGACGCTTCAGGATTTCCAGTAGAGTG